CTTGTCGAAACTCCAAATAGAAACTTGTTGAAAGATTTGGACAACGTCAATAGGGCGCGCATCCTCCTCTGCCAAGGCTTGACTGATCAAGTCCTTGCCCACTTTCACGTAGCCAGACCGTATTTTCGATTTCTCCAGCGGCGGCAACAGCAAGTTGCTAACATACAGCCTTGCCGCTGCTTGTAATCGTTCGGTGGCAGTTTCGTCATTTTGAGGTTGGTGCATCGTTGGCGAGACGAGGGATGTGGCAAACTCAAGAACACACTCCGCCAGCGCGTCGTTCTCAGTGGCCACTTTGTGATGGACCGCAAATTCCAGTATCTTTCCGGCACTTCCAAAATCGCTCCACCGGGAGCAAGCTTTTGATAGCAGCGAAGACAATTCCGAAAACCATTCAGGCAGCATTTTTGACTGGTCCACAAACCGATAGGCTCGAGCAACAAGATTCAGGGCTGCGGGTGGTATGTCATTTTCGCGCCGTATAGACGTCGAATTGCGAAGCAGTTCCTCTAACCCAGCAGTCTGAGAAATAACACCATGGTGGTTGCTTAATACACGTTCTACCGCCAGATCAATGGCGTTCTTTTGTGCTGGCCCTCCATTTGGTTGGTTTCCACACGACCTTGAAACGCAGTCTCGAGCAGACAAGTCCTGTATCGCAGGGGTTGCGGATGAGAAACGGGACACAAAGGGATCATGCCTATGTCTTTGCGTAGCGTTCAAGGTCGGCCGGCCACTCTTTTGCGTTGTCTCTCGCTTGTCTATCGTCTTTTGTGGAAGATCTCGTTCGCTTGCTGCCCTTGTTGGGCGTCGTGCGTCTGGGCTGGTTTCGTTGACGTGTTGATCCAGATATGAGCTATCGAACACCAATCTGCCGTGTTCGTGTGAGGAGTCGCGATTCCGAGACCGTGTTGGCCAGCTGACGAAATTTGGGTCAGTGGCGACCTCTTCCTGGAGAGCCTCGAGAGCAGCGACGCCACTGGTGCTGTATCGTTTCAAAGACTTCAGTCTTCTGCCATTCTCGACTGCCGATCTTGCTATCTTGATTCGCTGGCGACGCTCTTCCGCTAAGAGGACGAGAGAGCAAGAAGTCCCAAAGAGAAGACCTCGAAGTGCATGAATCGCGGCTTTCGAGGGAACGGGGGCGGGGGCAGACATCGTGCAAGCTCGACAATTGCCATGATCGTTCGCGACTTGACTATCGGATCATTTCGTAGTCGCAAGAGGTCAATCGCTCGAAGGGGGGCTGTCGCAATGTCGGACGTGGTTGCCAATGGGTCGTTGAGACTGTCAGTCAAAAGTTGAAGGACCCTTGTCACATTTACGCCCACTGTCGTACCACCCTCGGCCTTTGCTAAGGTATCTTACCTTATGCAGACGCTTTTTGCCCGCTGACTGCTGTCCCGGCGGGCTGGATTGGGATGAAGAGGAAAAGGAGTTGATCCGTTCCGCCCTCGAGCTTAGCGTCTTAGTCATCATCTGAGCAGACATGCAGGAGAGCCGAACCCGAACCCGAACGCCAGCTTCCGCTCGGCAGAAAGCAGCTCTAATCGCCCATATCGTGAAATCCACCCACTCCTGTTTCTAGAAGCTCTCGAATTCGAATGATCTCAAAAGCTGTATTGTCATCTTGTCCGCCGCTGATCATTTGTTCTACTTCATGCAGCAAGCCTAGCGCAAATCATGACCCAACGAATAAAAACCAGGCTCACTAGACACGCTGCTTTGTGCGATGCTTTGAACTCGTGGGCAGTCTTGAGGTCAGGTAGAGTGAAGACAGAAAGGGAGGTTTCGATTTCCAATCATCATCTGCCGTCGGAGAAGAAAATGTACCGTCAGCTCTCAGTCATCTTGTAAGTCCACAGGGCAGACCTGCAAGTCACTGGAGACTTCATTTGGTCCGATTGCTTGACATCAGTACGCCCGGCACCTGCAGCTCGCAACCGGTAGTGCGAATCGTCGGGTTTAAGACCGGTGATTAGGCACAAAGCATCTCTAGTGTGAGCTAAGGTGGGATGCGGGACTCGCGCAGGGTCCTAATGCATGGCACTTCGGCTGGAGCATCACGGACTTGGAGACTGGCGCAGGAGCTAACTCTAAACATCCACATATCCAATTGGACTGACAGCGTCTGAAGAGACTGGAAGAGCTACATTACAATGAGATCATCTGTGCCTTGATCTACCTACCTTACAGTCTGCCCTGCCAACTGAGGGGGGCCAGCCTGCCGTCCTGTCATGTTGCCTGTCGTACGTCCCGTTTCGTCCGGAGGGGAAAGAGCGGTCGGTATTAGTTGATCCCCCGCCTTCCTCCTCTAAGTCTCACTCTTGGAGAGATATAAATTCCACCTCAATCAGCTCGCAAACTCGTATTCTGACCGACCTGACTTTATCCTAAATTCTCTTCATTCTGGGCTGCATTCGACTTACTTCCTCATACATCTCACAATACCTATCATCATGTCGGCCCTACCTATGGCAGCTCCGCCCAAGAGCCCCTTGGCTCGTTACCGCATTCTCTCTCCGACGGCTTCCGTTCGCGTGAGCCCTCTGTGTTTGGGCGCCATGAACTTTGGCGACGCCTGGTAAGATTACTTTGAAGAAACCTGTCTCAGACATCCTTTTCTAAGAAGTTTGACAGGAAGGGATACATGGGTACTTGCGATCAAAAGACTGTCGAAGAGATCCTCGACTTCTTTCATGAGCAGGGGGGCAACTTCATCGACACCGCCAACAACTACCAATTCGAAGAGTCCGAAGAGTGGATTGGCGAATGGATGAAGAAAAGAGGCGTTCGTGACCAAATGGGTAGGTTTGAGCATCTAACCCAGTGGGAGCTGTATCTGAAATGGAGACAGTCATTGCAACCAAGTATACCACAAACTTCCAAGCGGGCCCCAACGCGCCGGGGATCATGGCCAACTTCACCGGCAACGGATCCAAGAGCTTGCATACCTCTGTAGAGGCAAGCTTACGCAAGCTGAAGACCGATTACATTGACCTCGTGAGCAGCTTTGTCTCTTATCTTTCAAGCGATGTCACTTACACAGAGCAGCTCTACGTCCACTGGTGGGACTATTCTACTTCTATTCCGGAGCTGATGCAGTCTCTCAACAACCTCGTCATCACCGGCAAGGTCCTCTTTCTCGGCATCAGTGATACCCCGGCTTGGATCGTCAGGTAAATTTTATCAGGAATCATCCCCATCAAAGGAGCTGGTCTAACTTCCTCATTAGCAAGGCCAATGAATACGCCAGAAATCATGGACTACGCCAATTCTCCGTATATCAAGGTCGATGGTCTGCTGCCTCACGAGACTTCGAGCGAGAGATCATTCCCATGACCAAGGCTGAAGGTTTGCAGCGTCTTTATAGCGAGATTGGAAAATAACTTCTGACACTATATTAGGAATGAGCTTGGCACCCTGGGGCGCGCTCGGCGGTGGCGTGAGTGCTCCTAACTCAATGTTAACTGATCAGAGAAGACAACGACTAACTTGGAAACAGGCTTTCAAGACGGAAGAGCAACGCAAGTCCCAGGAGGGCCGCAAAGTTCAGGCTAGCGAAGCGCAAATCAAGATCAGTCAGGTGCTGGAAAAGATCGCCAACAGCAAAGGGACAATCATCACGAGTGTTGCTTTGGCTTATGTCATGCAAAAGACGCCTTACGTCTTCCCCATCGTCGGCGGTCGCACTGTCGATCATCTGAAGCAAAACATCGAAGCATTAGCCCTGGATCTCTCCGATGAAGAAATTCAGGAGATCGAAGGAGCTGTGCCGTTCGATATGGGCTTCCCCCACAACTTCTTATGGGGAGAGAAGGTCCCGTCGAACCCTGGCGAAGTCTGGTTGTTGAACATGGGAGGAACTTTCGACTATGTACCAGAGCCCAAGGCTATCGCACCCAAAGAAGGCGGAAAGTAGTACTATCGAGTGCGGAATCAGTACAAAAGGTGGCGGCCGATGGATTACTGAGAGGCTGTTGAAAAGCGACATGGTTCACAACCGCTGCTTGGCTGCCGTTCAAGTACAATTTCATACACGTTTCTGGCCAGATTCTGATCCAGTTTGCGATGCTGAACCTGGTCAAAATCTGCAGACTCATTGCTCCTGGAACTGTCATCAGTCTGTTTGAGGCTCTGCAGTGTATCATGCAGCTTACTTTGCCTAGGCGCCAATCACCATGCATTCTTTCCGCATCGCTTATGCAGGCAGGATGAAAATCCTTGACTGGAACTCCTGGCTTTCGGTGGCTTATTTGAAAGAGATGTGATCAAGGCTGGCGCCTGGAAACTCGAAATGTTGTACCCATTCTTGTGATGTCTGCGTATTTTGCAACATTCCCTCCAATCCGCCAGAGGCAGCGAGCGCATGACAATAGACCCCCAACTACACGAGGGAAATTCACCGAAATCAAGTATACAATAGTACATCGAGAATGTGTGAAGAAAGTACAAGGTGAGTGATCATCCAGCTAGTACAATCAGACGAGCACTACATGGCTTTTTATGGACTTGCTTTCCAAACAATCCCTAGATGGGTTCGAGTCAGCACCCACCGTGAGGACTTTGCCACGCGAGAAAGCAATTACTCTAGTGCCTGTTGTCGTAGCACGGGCAAGGGAGGCATAAGGTAACGGGGAGTATCGCAGGAGGTACCTTCCTCACTTTACTTACAAAGCAGGAGCAGTAGCTCCATCACTCGCTCTTTCCTAAGACGAACAACTCATCAACTGGCAACTACTTGAGAAGCACACTTGGGCATTTCCTGCCATGATTTGACCCCTGTTCTTCAATTTTTAACAGATTTCCTTCCACTTGTCTTGATTCCCAAGCCGTACCTTGTTTGATTCTGATTCAATTATGTCGCCGTGAGTCTAGAAGCCTGCCTCTCAGAGCTAGCTAATTAAGGTGACAGGCTTCAGGGGACTGTGTCGGCCTCTAAGGATATTTTCACATTCGTCAGAAGGCAAACATTCGAATCGGAGCCCCCTGGAACATTGCATGCAGTCAACGACGCCAGACGAAGCCTGCCGGGCTTTTCACAAGACATCAATCCAGACATTCTTGCTGGGGTAACCGTGAAGGTCGAAGAGTCAGACCAGAACTTCGGCACGTGGCAGTTAGTCACTCACGACCAAAGCTCTCCGCTCCCAAGCATCGAGGAAAGCTTGTCAATTGGCGAGTCACCGCCTCAGAGTATGGGGAGCACCATGCCCGCCACGCCCCTCGACGTTGATTATAGTTTTTCGCCTTTCCCAAGATCGAGTAGTCAATTCGATCGAAACGAAGGTAAGTCTCATGCGATGAAAGGCGATTTCTTCTGACAGCTTGACTAGCATGGGATCCCGCAGGAGATGTGCCGGTTCCAAAACAATATCAGTTATCTGCGCCAAAGATATCAAGCCCCCTCAAGAGACAGCGCGGAAGGCCGTCCTTGAGATGCCATACAAAGATGACCATTGATAATTACAAGATGTTAACAGCACCGGAGAGATCCCAGGTGCCGATGTATCAGAGTATCAGGGATGGCTTTGATACAAGAGAGATCAACGGCTTCACCAAGCTACAGAGCACGAGGCGGCGAAAGAGATCACCAGCCCCGCCTGGAATAGGCTCTCTTCCTGTATCTTGCGGCATCAAATCTGCATCATTTCGAAGCAATACAAAGAGTACGAGGATGCGCGAAAGATTTGTCATCGACTCTGATCTACAAGAAATTACCAGAGTCAGGGCTTCATCTAAAGCAGTCGATCTACTGGCGATGTCAGAGTCCCAAGGAGAGGCAACTTTGAATTACTTCCACTATACCAAGAGGAACAATATCAACGAGGATTCCGGAAGCCCCAGAGTCTTACCGTCCCTCCGCACCATCGAAGTATTGCCACGGCATAGAAGATCGAGACACCGTTCCGGTAAACTATTCATCTTATCTGATGATGTTGAAGAGATCGAGCCCGCAAGACACGACGCCTTACAGTCGGACCGAGCGTGCGCAGTCTCCCGTGGTGATTCTCACGTGGGCGCATCAAGCCTCTCGCGGGAAGCTTCAGCCACAGCGCTGGTTGGCGACGTTTTTGACGACGAGCTGGGTACGAATCAGCTGGCAGCAACAGACAGTACAACACCGGCCAACACCATGACTAAGATGAAGCCAGATGCCGGACATAAGACCTCCCTTGGTCTCATGAGCACCGGGGAAACATATGTAGATGGAGAAACCCCAAAGGCTTGGCCGGCTGGGTTACAGGGAGAATCGGTTTGGACTGGCGCATTCACAGACCTTAGACCACGTCCCAATGGAACCTTTTCCAGCGAAAGGCAGAGTTATCGAAAACAAGAACAAGGCGCACCTGGTTGCTAAATAGCAACACAATGGAGATGTGGGTATGCACGCGAATTTCAGGAATGCGGAGAATATGGAGGCATGCGTGATCATCGTAACTGTGTACAAAGCTTCCTCGCTGGGAGACTCTTGGGAGAATTAGCTTGATGGGGACTATCAAGATTTATCAACAGCCACGCTTCTCACCCAATACCATGGGTATCATCTGATATAATAGATGCCAGGCTTTTCCGTTAACCTCCCAGTCCTTTAAAAAGAAATGCTTGCATATGTAAACCACCTCAAACGCCGTGCGCCCACAAGTCTTGTAAGATTCCATCGCAGGTTTCTAAAGGCCGTAGTCGATCACTTCGCACCCTTGCCCTTAGCTTCCGTTTCGCCAAGCTCACGGATGAACACGCTTGCCTTGCCTTCAGCGCTATAGTCCTCCATGCCTGTTTCGAAACCTGGGCAGACACCAACGGCAAGGTACTTGCCATCCTTGGAGAAAGCTAGAGCCGCGACGCTATCGGGGAACTTTTGGTACTGCTTCATCCTGCGCTTGGCCTCGGCGTCCCACAAGGCGACCGTCCCATCACCACCACCCGAGGCAAAGGTGCCGTAAACGGGGTGGAACGTCATAGCGTTGACCGGATACACGATATCGCCCTCGCCATCAGGCGCAGCCGCGCGATGGCACTTGAAGGCGTACTTGCGAGCCTGGGACTCGGCCGAGTCCTCGAACCATTCGACGGCGACGCGACCCTCGATACTGCTGGTGGCGTAGCCGGCATCGTTGGGCATGCAGGAGATGGCGCGGGTGAGGAACTTGAGCGACGACTCGCGCTGCTGCCAGGGCTTGATGTCGTGAGGGCCGGGCTCGGCGAAGAGGGCGGGGATGTTGGTCAGGTCGTAGATGTTGACGAGGCGTGCGGTCATGGCAACGACGACCTTTGAGGGGCTAGCTGCCAAGGCATGGGGCTTTCCGGGCAGCTGGACGGTGATGTTCGTATCAGAGGGCGACTTTGCGTTGTGAATCTGGAGGGTGAGGTCCCAAGAGGCGGAGATGAGGAGAGCTGTGAGGTTGGTCAGAACGGCGCGGCGAAAGGTCGGCATAGCTGTGACATCACTCACAGTGCTCTGGGCTGTAAACTACACATCGTGCAGGCGCACCGTGTTGCGCAATGACTTGCTTCTCTTCTGTCTCAAGGTCGATCCTGAATAGAAAGCGTCAGCTTCGTCCAATGGCCAGTGGGAGCTTCATGGTTCGCCATACTTGTAGACGCAGTGGTCTAAACACGCCGCGTAGGCCTCGTTATCTGTCGCGCCAAAGGTTACGTCCAGGACAGGCGCCCGGAACTCAATGGCTTTGATGAGAATGCCTGGCGCATCTTCGCCTCCGCTATGTGTGTCGTAGAGGTAGATCTTCTTGTCCCAGCAGGACACCAGAAGTCTGGTAGGCGACTCGGGCGCATATGAAAGCGAGGAGATGGCGTCGCTAGGCGGTTGCGCCAGCTCGAATTGGGATGCTGCTGAAGTATTAGTAGTTGGTCAATATTGTTGGAGCGAGATTTGAGGTCGAAGTCCCCCGAAAACTCACCGGGTGCCATTTTTGGGATTATTGTTCTGATGTTGTTGAAGCTCTTACGGTGAAGTAGCTCAATGCGCCTCTAACAACAAGCAGCTCTGGGTGTACCTGGGCGTTAGCTTCTGGGGTCTGTTTACCTGAACAATTTGGTTGGAGGGGCGCTCACGTGGCGATAAGCGAAGCAGAGCTTATCGGTCGAATCAGCACCGATTCTGCCATGGACTACCGCCCCGAAAGCACCCCCCACCATTGTTCGGATTTCTGCGATTTGTGAACCGCAGTAGCAAAATTGTGACTCGATCGCCCAATCACCAACGTAACGCCGCTCACACCCAAAAGGCCGCTTCTTTCGCTTTTCGACGTCGCCCCCGAGCAACTGATCCCACCGCAAGCGATATCAAGACCGACGAGTAGGCCGACTCTCCACCGAGCACAGAGGAAACAAGCTATCCAAAGACCGGAAGGACGTGTAAAAAGCCCGCGCACCTTCTTTCGCACCCCGCCCCTCCACACCTGTTGGCCGACCACCTTCAACAACACCACCCAACCGCCACCACCACCCTTCGTACTCGACGACATCGAGCACCAGTAGCCAAGATGGCGGAACCGAACTACAGTCACTTTCGATACTTCGAAAACAAGTACCCCGAGATCGATGAGTTCGTCATGGTCAACGTCAAGCAGGTTTGTGCCCCGCCGGCCCAACGCACACGGCGAACCGAACCGCCCCAACCCACCCGGTCGCCGTGGATATGAAGGGTACATGAGAGCGAGAGAGAGGGAACATCCGGGTCTGACTGGTGATATAGATTGCCGAGATGGGTGCCTACGTCAAGCTTCTCGAGTACGACAACATTGACGGCATGATTCTGCTTTCCGAACTTTCGAGACGTCGCATCAGAAGTATCCAGAAGCTCATCCGTGTGGGCCGCAACGAGGTTGTCGTCGTCCTTCGTGTCGACAAGGAGAAGGGTTATATCGATCTTTCCAAGCGTCGTGTGTCGCCAGAGGATATCATCAAGTGCGAGGAGCGGTACAACAAGGGCAAGATGGTCCACTCCATCATGCGCCACGTTGCCGAGAAGACCCTTACCCCGATCGAGCAGCTCTACGAGACCATCGCATGGCCCCTCAACAAGAAGTACGGCCATGCGATTGACGCCTTCAAGCTGTCTATCACGTGAGTTGAGGACTATGTTTCGCTATAGCAAGAGGGATTGTGAATACTGATGCGTAAGTAAAGGAACGCCGAGGTCTGGAACGACGCCACCTTCCCCAGCGAGGCCGTCTCCGAGGAGTTGAAGTCATATATCGCGAAGCGTCTCACCCCTCAACCTACAAAGGTCCGTGCCGACGTTGAGGTCACCTGCTTCGGATACGAGGGTATCGACGCTGTCAAGAACGCCCTGCGCACCGCCGAGGCGCGCAACGACGACCAGACCCAGGTCAAGGTCAGACTCGTGTCCCCCCCTCTGTACGTTCTGACCAGCACGTGTCTGGACAAGAACCTCGGTATCACCCGCCTCGAGGAGGCCATTGTCGAGATCCGCAACAGCATCGAGGCTGCGGGCGGTTCGTTGGTGGTGAAGATGGAGCCCAAGGCCGTTACGGAGAGCGACGACGCCGAGCTGCAGGCTCTCATGGAGAAGAGGGAGCGCGAGAACGCCGAGGTCAGTGGTGACGAGAGTGTCTCTGAGAGCGACGACAACCCGGAGGTTTAGATTTTTCCTTTAGAGTCAACGTCATCACAACAAAAAAGGGGCGGCTGGTAGAATGAGCGTACTGGCAGGCTGGGAATCCAGAGTGATTCTAATGAGACGACCAAAAAAGAGTCTAAACATTTCAAAATTATTTCATCCTGGCTGATTGTGAGTGAGCGACGGACTGATGATACTATGAGACGAATGATCCGTTTCAATAGATACGATGTATGGCCGACCTTACCACAAGCTAGGGCATTTAGCGAGAAGACGAATATGTCTATCATAATCAACCCAATTGATGACAGTAGCTTTCCCCGGACACTACCTGACGGCTCATCAAAGAACAAATGTCAGTGACATCCCCCTAAGTAAAGTCGTCCTCCAATAGCCGAATCCGCATAATCCACATACAGTACCGATGCTTGTGGACTTGCCATTTTATCGGCGCGGACGTCGTTGTTGTTGCGGTGACCGAGCGGTTTAATCTCCTGCGTGGAGCAGAATGCTCCTGACGGTTTCATTGGAGGTTCTCAATCGAGGCGAGATGCTGGGGGCAAGAACGACTAGTTCCTAGATACCTACCTGAGGACTGCTTTGCCAACCCTTCATCCGATAACTTTCCTATCACCTGATTACACCAGAATATACACAGGAAGCCCATATAGGTAGGTCCCTCCAATTCCATTCCAGTCACCAACCAGAAGGCGCCCGTCTAGGTCGACGGATCAGGTAAAACTGGCTAGGTGGTGGAGAGGTTTATGGTCAACAATCAAAAAATTCAGTCGCGCCAACAGCCTACTCGACGACAGGCTACGAGTTCGAGTTCGATTCCCAGCATGAAAACCAAGAGAAGTAGCCCCCAAATCGGCACCGAGGGGGTGAACTCTTTCCTTTTTGGGTTCAAATTGTGATGTTCTTTGTTCGAAGTATATATTGCATGTACTAGAAGTTTCGTGATCCTCGTCTCACCCTAGAGATTTAAGAATGAAGAATATTTTGATTCATTGAAGATATATATGACTAGAAGATTGGGCCTGAGCAACAGAACGTAAAGAGACGAATCGGCAGAGGCAATCGTGTCATATGATTACTACACTTCAACTCGATTGTGCGGTTCATTACTTATCTTTAAATGTTCTCTGCTGACCAAGATAAATATAAAATAATCATCATTCTCATACAATTGTCAAATAAAGAGATATCGAATCGTATGATGGAATCTCGAAAGTCCCGCATGTAGGGGGGAGTTGTCAGACGTACCTTAGTTGATGTTCCCAAAGCTCCAGTAAGGTACTTTCTGGTGATAGAATTGATAAGATAAGAGATAAGATAACAACATGAGATGATGGCGAGCTCGAAACCTTCCTCGCGACAATTCTACCTGCAACAGGAGAGAAGGCGCTGTTCCCAAGGCACAGCGCGGCAAACCTCCGCGAAAACCTGACAATATCTTGCGCCCATGGCTTCCCGTTCGCTATGGGCGCGCGCACGAGGGAGCTTCCTCGGTGACACCACGCTTCGCCTGCTCGGGCTTGCGACCTGGATCCCGGTCGTGATTACATTCAACGACCATGTTGCGACCATCACGAGCATCAGCGGCGGCTCCATGTACCCCTACTATAACGAGGATCGCAATAAGACGACTGCAAATGATATGGTGCTCAATTGGAGGTGGAAACCCTCCTACGGGCTCCAGAGAGGCATGATTGTCACATTTAGGTGCGTTTTCACTTGCGCTTCGTATCATGAAGGTTGAGAAGCCGAACGGCGAGCTGACCCTTTTGCTTGCTTTTCACAGGAGCCCTTTCCATCCCGAAACCGTAGCGATCAAGAGAGTCGTCGCGCTGGAAGGCGAATATGTCACAACGAGAGCACCGTATCCGGAGAGAGTGGTCAGGGTACCGCAGGGCCATATTTGGGTGGAGGGAGATGGGCCACAGGATCAGACGCTGGACAGTAATACGTACGGTCCGATATCTATGGCGCTGGTGACAGGAAAATGCATATGGAATATCTGGCCTTGGCGCAAGTTTGGCCGCGTGAAATGGGAAGAACACAAATTCAAGGATAGATACTGAAGCGCGAATGGCTTCGTGTATGAATAAGCATGTGAGCGGGACACTAAGAGAGTCCTGGATTTGGGTTACAGGGACATCAAAAGTTTATGTATACCATGAGGTAGTTGGTCAACGACTGGGTACTTTCAACTTCAACTCCCCTCTGAGTATTCAAGATTGTTTCTAATGACGATTGATCTATCTGGTCCTTAAGTCCGGGCATTTCAAAATCCCGCCATCTTTGAAGCGGCGCGGGCTGTCCCGCGTTACAGCTCGGAGCTCTCGGGACCGGGCTTTCAGCTCAGGGCCTTAGGTCCGGCTGATTCAGTCGACACTTGCAGCTGATGAAAGAAAGAGACGGGAGCTCACCCGACGGTGACGCAGCGGGAGTACCTACAGCATTGCATGTGGTCTGTGCACCGCCAACAAAAATTCCCAGAGTCGGGAACCCTGCATGAAATTTCGATATCATTATCTGCAGCTGCTGCTCCTCCTCGCCGCCGCCAAGTTTTTGACAGCGCCAATTAACCCACGCGACAAACAACGACGAGGAGGCCTCTCCTTCAATTTCCCTCGAAGCCCGTTTACTGCGTTATTTCTCCTGTCGTCCCGCAGCGGGAACTCACCAGTGCCCAACCGCGAATCTCTCTTCCCCCCTTCGACATCGAAACCGACCGACGTCAGCATTTCAGGACCGAGAGGGACCGAACCCTTGACGCAGACCAGAGAGTGCCTGGTCAAACAACGACAGGCATCACTCGCAAATGTCCGTCGCTGACCGCATCGTCAGCTCCCTAGCTCCGGCCGACAATAACGCGCAAACGATTCAGGGGGGCATCTCGGCTTCGACCCCGGCGGCGGCGGCCTCGTTCGAGGGGGATAGATATGCGGTACAGACGGGAGGACTTTTGCCGGATATCAGAACAGTCGCACAATCTTTTAGACAGGAGGATATGAGTTTACAAGACGACTCTTTCGAAGAGGAGGGCCGCCCGCCTTACCTCCACGCCATGATTGCTGGAGGTGTCGGAGGTTCGACGGGCGACATGCTCATGCACTCCCTGGACACGGTCAAGACGCGGCAACAGGGCGACCCGCACATACCGCCAAAATACACGTCTCTGGGCTCGTCATACTACAAGATACTACGGCAAGAGGGTGTCCGACGAGGTCTTTACGGCGGATGGATACCGGCTTTGGGTGGTTCCCTTCCGGGCACGATGATGTTTTTTGGGACGTACGAATGGAGTAAACGGTTTCTCATCGACCATGGTGTGCAACAGCACCTGGCCTACCTCACAGCTGGTTCGTCGATCCTCGCGCTGTGCTGTCGAGAGACACTAACTAACTGACTGTTTTCAAGGCTTTCTCGGAGATTTAGCCGGCTCCATCGTTTACGTTCCATCCGAGGTGTTAAAGACCCGCTTGCAGTTGCAAGGACGGTATAATAACCCCTATTTCAAATCGGGCTACAACTACAGAGGAACCGTTGATGCGGCGCGGACAATCGTCCGTCACGAAGGACCGGCTGCGCTCTTCCACGGTTACCAAGCAACACTAGCCCGTGACCTCCCATTTTCAGCACTTCAGTTTATGTTTTGGGAGCAATTTCACGCCTGGGCACGCACCTACAAGCAGAGCAGAGATGTTGGTGTGCCGCTGGAGCTCCTTACCGGCGGTCTCGCCGGCAGCCTGGCTGGCATTATGACATGTCCTCTGGACGTCGTCAAGACGCGTTTGCAGACGCAGGTGCACCCTGATCTGTTGCCCAAGGAGATGAAGCCGGTGGTCAAGGGCGCTGCGCACGCTTCAACGTCAAAATCTCAGACGCGCAACATTTCAACGTCTTCACCCTCGACGCATACCCCGCGACCAGGCGCGGTCAACTTGCAGACCTCGTCCGTCATCGAAGGTCTCAAAGTCATTTACCAGACGGAGGGGCTCAGCGGATGGTTCAGGGGCGTGGGTCCCCGTGGTGTCTGGACTTTTATTCAGAGCGGCACCATGCTGTTCTTGTACCAACGCATTCTCAAGTCATTAGAGGCTTGGGATCCACCAGTGGAAGAGCAGGAGCGTGCCATCTAAGGAGGTTTTGGAGGTTGGGCTGGAAACGGGTGATACCAGGGTTGGATGGAGAAAAAAAAAACATTGTACAAACAACCCCCTCTGTACACTTTGTAAGGATAAACATGGGACTGGCGTTTGACGGCATAGTAGAAGGGGCATGGTGTCCGATAGAGAGCTGATAGAGCGAAAGACAAGTCCCACTTCAAGTGCTGATCTGATTTACAAAAAGCTAGAACCAATGTGTGCGATATGGTGGCCTAAAGTCGTTGTTCTCAAAGAGATCGAATCATCACAAGGCTCACTTGAGGGAAAAGCCATAATAAGATTCATAGCTCTTGGAGTATATCTCAAAAAGCACCAAACAAAACCTTTTGTGAGAGAGGCTGTAATAAGGTAAGTTTTCCAGGTTGGTTCTCTGGGATGACCAAGCTCCAGCTAGGTGTCATATGCAGCAACCTGCAGTACCTGCCTGCCCCGCCAGGTTCTAGCCCAAGTGCCTATTGATGGCCCGGGGAGGGACTAGACCCCTGGCTACCCCCTAAGACCCCCCTGCGTGACGACAGACCGAGCTTCCATGGCTGACGTGGGGTGTGCTGAAGCTTCCCTGGTGCAGCTCCCAAAATTTCGACCTGTGAAACACGCGCCTCGCGACAGGAACCAAGACCTCGAAACTATTCCATTGTTCACCACTCCTCCACCCACTGCAGCACCCATCCAACTGCGCACCCACTTTCACGGCTTGATTACACAAGGAAACTTCACGTTCGAATTGAATAGACGTTCCAATGGCCTCTGATTCAGGCACGCCTCCTCCTCCACGGGAGCCGACCCCGGGCGGCTCCCTTCCATCTTCAACTGCGATCCCCTTGAAGAGACCTGCTCTCGAAGAAGACTTTACTCCTTCTGTACCTTCGCCACTCAATCCCGACGTCAGATCTACACCAAAACCTCCAGGCGCCGACGAGATGCCAGCAAAGCGCAACAAGAAGGAGTCGCTGAAGAAGCGCGAATCCAAGGGCGCCTTTGGCGGCGACAGCAACCGCGGCACGCCAGACCCCAAGCATCGCGAACCTAAGCAGTCCGACTACAGTCCGATGCGCTACAAGCTGGCGCCACCCAAGCCTTCCGACTTTGAACCTGCTCGCGGCGCCAGCTTCACTCATCACCATAACGTCCCTGCTTTGGATGGAAGCGAGATCCAGTTCTATGAGACGTCGGAGCAGTGAGTTTGCCGACAGCGGAGTGCGCCTGACTGAAAATGCTAACGAGACCAAAGTGTTCACAATAAGAAAAGCTACCACTACACTCACTGTATAGCGGACCCCGGATTCCCCTCAGCACTATACTACCGAGGTACCGAAGCAGAGCCCACAGGGCCTCATCTCAGCTTCGAGGACAGCGCAACTCATCTGTTCTTTGACCAGACGGGCCTTCATATTACGACCAACAAGGGTTTCCGCATGACGCGCGCGAATGTCGCTATTCGGGAGGGACGGTTCTACTGGGAGACCAAGATTACAAGAGGAATTGTCGACAAGACAAGCGGAGATGAGAAGCCCGAGTCGCATGGCCACGTGCGCATGGGTTTCGCGAGAAGAGAGGCAACTTTGGATGCGCCAGTAGGATTCGACGCATACAGTTACGGCTTGCGCGACGTTGGAGGCGAGAAGGTTTACATGTCACGACCCAAGTCCTTCTTCCCCGAGGGAGAGGGCATCCGGGAGGGCGATGTCATCGGCCTGGAGATCCAGCTGCCTTCGGAACGCCTGCAGCGCAAGGTCCTGGCTGGTCAGTACAACCCGGCCGTTGATACCGGCTTGGACGATGACAGCACAAACTTTGATGCGCCCAACATTGTCCGTGATCGCATCCCCATTCGCTTCAAGTCGCACATCTACTTTGAGAAGATTGACTACCACACAACCAAGGAGCTCGAGGACCTCATGAACCCTTCGCCCGTCTCCTCCGGCCCGGCCAACTCGGTCGAACCGCCCAACCCTAACCACGTCGTCCCTGCCCTCCGTACGCTTCCTGGATCCTTCATCAAGGTGTACAAGAACGGCGTGCTCATGGGCACCCCTTTCACCGACCTTCTCGCCTTCCTGCCCCCGGCCTCCAAGCCGCAGGGACAGATCGGTGCTCGCGAGGGCCTCGACAATGGTATGCTCGGCTACTATCCCGCCGTGAGCGTCTTCAGAGGCGGTGCTGCCGAGGTCAACTTTGGCCCCGACTTTTGGTTCCCGCCTCCCGGGCTAGAAGAGAGTCCCGACGACAATGAGGTGTCCATGATCGACGCCGGACAGGAAGAATCCAAGAAGGTAGCAGCGTCATCCTCGGTGCCCGCGTACCCTGGTCTGGATCAGGTGCGGCCGGTCTCGGAGCGGTACACGGAGCAGATTGTCGAAGATATCGTCTATGACATCATTGACGAGGTTGACTTTTGGGTCCAGGATGGCTGCAAAGTCATTGATCGTTTCGGTCAGGGGGGCGAGAAGGCTGGTCAGACGGGCAGTCTTGCTGCTGGTGGACGCGAGGAGATTAAGGAGTTGGTTCAGGACGATTAGAAGGGATGACCCTCACGATGGGGGAGGCAATGTTGTGAGACACAGTAGGCAATTCTTTTTCTGTTTTGCGCTCCGGAAGATACCCAGACAGACTTTGCGATTATGAAAGTCTTTGCATTCCAATTCATAGCTGTACATTAAAACTATCACTGGGTGAGAAACATTGAGCAGGAAAATGTCGTTTCTACATACAGGGGTTTTCATTTTCCAGAGGGTAAGGATGGTGAAAAAAATATATAAAACGAGAATGAATGTATTTCATCTCTCTCATCATGTAGTTCTCATCCTTGCCTGTCCATTTCATTCAAACACCATTCTGAATCATTCGTCGCAGAGTTCAAGGAGACGCCAGCCGTAAGGGTCATTATAAAAGAAAAGAATTGTGGAAAAGGAAGAAAAGTCGGTCAACTTCCAAAGCATGCGGACAGCCCCCCCCCTATTTACTTCCTTGTCGACCTCCGTCTAGGGGAATCGGGGCCCGGCGACGCCCGTCGCTGAGGCGTCGTCCGTCCGGAGCTGTGTCGGCCGCTCCGCCGGCTGCGTTCGCTGCGCTGGCTGCGCGGACGATCTGATGACCGCACCACCGGCTCGGTGCGCGAGCGGGAGGGACCCGCCATGAGGGCCGGGTCATCGGGGAGTTCTTCGATGCGGCCGGAGCCGTCGATGATTTCGGGCGCGTTTTCGCGCTTGATGCGTTCTTCGCGGCCGCGCTTGTGGCAGTACCACAGGACGAAGAGGAGGACTTTTGAGGGGAATCATGTTAGCATTCTACTCCTGATTCTTGAAGACGAAGGACTAGTCAGGGGTAGAAAAGACTTACGGAAGATGGAAACGCTCCAGATGACGTTTGCGCCGATAAAGGCCGGCCAGCGCAGCTTGAGGGCGTTGACGATGGCCTTGAGCATGCCCACGACGGCGCCCGGCTTGGTGACGAGGTCTGCGAGGCTGGTGGGCGTGAACATCTTCTTCGCGGCGCCCTTGATGCCTTCCTCGGCGGCGAATTCCGCATGGTTGACGCCCTGTGCTTTCGCGGCCGCGGCGAGGACCTCGGGTCCCAGGCTGGCGGTGAACTTGTCCGGGAGCTGGGTGACGAGCTTCTTCATGCTGTTGGGGAGCTTGTCAAACGTCTTTGCGAGGGTGCCGTCGCGGTCCTCGACGAGGGCTTTCAGGTCGTCTGCGGCGGTGGGCACGCCGTTGACGAGGTCCTTTAGGACGAGGGTGAATTTGGAGACGAGCTCGGAGGATTCTGCGGATAAGGGCACGGCTTTGTTGTTGCGCGCTGACAGGTTGAGGTCGTCGAGCACGCGGGAGAGGTCGTCTTCTTCGCGGGCGGCTTCCTTTGGTGGGACGTTTGTCTTTGTTGGGGCGAGCTGCTTGTCCTTGTCGTCGAGGGTTCCTTTGGCCTTGTTGAAGAGGAAGGCGATCTTGCTGGGAATTTTGGAACTGCTGCCCGAGGCATTTGCGTCTTTGGGGTCTACCGCTACTGTCGCGGCCTTCTTGGGCGTCTGCTTCTCGGCGGCGGCGGCGGCGCGCCGGGACCCGTCAGAGTCCTCCCAGATGTACTCTGGCGTCTTGCTGCGCGGGGGCAGGGCGGGCCGGACGCTCTCGTCGTCCGAGTCGACGTCGTTGGCGTCGGCGAGGATGCGTCTGAAGAAGGCCTCATCTTTGCGGTTGAGGAGAGGCGCGGGGCCTCCGCCTCCTGTCGCTGCGCTTGCTGTTGTCGAGACGGACTGCGAGCTCGTTTGGCGTCTTGTGGCTGATGGTCGCGAGTCTGGGTGAAGCTTGCCTGGTGATGGTAACGGTGCTGGCGAACCGTTGTTGTGTTCCGCCTCACCTTCTGCTGCTGCCGCCTCTTTTGCCTCCTTCTCTGTCTTGTACTTTTTGAACTTCTTGTAGCTCAGGTATTCCAACATCTTGGGCGACGAAGTTTAGGTTTCTCTGGGGAGAAACCAACAGAGTCTAAGGGTGGCGTACTGGTTGACAAGTTCTGTGATCCAATATGCTGTCAACTAAGAATCACGGCAAAGAAAGTTGTAGTTTCCTCGAACAAGATGCAAGAGCGTTGTAGTGAGGCGGTCGGAACAGGTTTATTTTATTACAACGGCCAAGCGCTTGTTCTGAATCACATGCGGTCTGGGTCTGGGCCAGGGCCCTGCGCTCTATCATGCGGCGTCACGTCGTCCAAGTTCATGTGTTAGATTGGTTGAGCGGGCAAGCTGGGGGGTAGCTCACACAGCCACATGTGATGTCACCCTTGCAGCGGCCTCCGATGTGGCGGTGCGATGGACAAGAGTGGAGATCCGGATACAGCTGCCGGTTCGCTTAAGAGCGGTCCAGTTGTTTGAGGTTGCGCCGGAGGCATCCAATGGAAGAGCATGAATGATCACCCGTTCAGAATTCGCCTCTTTTGTTGGGGCTGGTATGGGCAAATGAAGAACCTCTAAGAGCATTGCGGCTCATCCAGTCCCCTTTGACAGTTGTCTGGGCGTTATGTAAGGTATTGTATGCTATTGGTAAATATTGAGTGGTTCGGCTGAGTTAGCCGCCATCGTGGGGTATCTTTTATGGCAACTGCCCATCGCATCCCGCGGGTAGGGCTTCCACATCTTTCTATGCTTCATCATGCCTCATCCTCGTCTTCTTCTTCTTCGTCTCCATGCTCCCCGTTTTCGTGCATGACTTCGTCTGCCGCATTACTCTTCCTGCCACCTCCACTCCTCCGGCGGCCCCTTTGATATGCCTCTGTGCTGGTCATAGCCTGCTCTCCAACATAGTGTTCACCATCCCAGTCCTTTGAGCACCTGGGACACTTGTGACTCCGTTGAGTGCGCCAGTAACCTTCTTGACATGTATTGTGCAGGCGCGCGTTGCAGTCTCGTTCCGCGCACCGTTGTCCAACTGTGACGATTTCCCTACATGCCTCGCAGAACTTGATGCGCTGCCAATCTTGCGCGGCCGCGTCGGGGTCGTTGAACGAGTCAATCAGCCATGCCCTGAGCTCAAGCAGTGCTCTTGGGCTGAGGCTGTAGAACCCGTCCTTGGACTTCTCTAACCAACCCTGGTTCACTAGGTTCGCCAGCATGTCTTCCACTTCGCTGTGCTTAAGTCCCTTGTCCGAGGAAGACTGCGTCTGCGTGGGTTCTCCGTTCTCGTCGTTATGATTGTTGTTCTGTCGAGGAGGGCGGGCCAGCTTGATAGCCTGCATCTCCGTGATGCACATGAGCTCCATGCGCGGGGAGTTATATGTCTCGAACATGGCGTCCAATAACCTCTTTGTAAAGGCAATCTGTTCTGCGTTGAATGTGGTCGCCAGCTGCGTCATGGGGTCGGAGGCGGTGTTCACGAGAGCGTAGATGCGCTTCTTGGTGACTTGATGGATCGCGCTTCGTATCTCGTAGTCAAAGAAGGAGACGCCTTCGGCTGCAGCTTGCAGGTAAGAGTCGAAGTCCTCCATCGTGACCTGTTCGGGGGCGACTGGCTCGCCATCTTGGGCTTCGATGGTGAAGATTCCGGCAAGGATAGGCTGTGCGTCTTCGTATGTGAGGGTGCCCCGAGCCAGGAAGGCTTGAAGGAAGGCACGGTTGCCATCGTTGTAGTGTTCTCGGACAATGTTCATTTCGGCGTGGTAAGGCTTAAGACTGAATCGTGTATCTGGGGGTTTGACAGCGTGTCATAACGGCCGTAGTTGGCATGTCCTAGAGGCTTTTGCGAGTCGCTAAGGTTTTCGCGGGGGAATGCCTCTAGACGCGACCGGGACGCGCTTCGCTGGTGAAGAACTACACAGTAATTGAAAGCCAGAGCTTCTGGGGACCCCACCGTGCCTTCCGCCAAAGTACATACCAAGTAGAGACCTGAGAGGAAGTTAAAGTGGAGACCGTTGGTGAGCCACAAAGTGGCTGGAAGAAGGCTGCGGTACTTCGCCGGAGAATTTCCATCTTCTTGGAATGAGATCTTCCTTTCCCAAATTGCACTGCGCATCGGCCAGCGGGCAGGGCCTCTCCGTGGCTCTGGGTCCATTCTGGACGGGATCCTCGCTCCGAGTGGAGTCCCAGATCCTTCAACCCCTGAACACCAACCTTCTTGCTGGGCAGCAGGTTGGAGAGTGCATGGTGTGCATGGCTCCTTCGGGCAGCAGCTGAAGTTCATTCCAGCGAACGAACCTTGCTCTCTCTCACAAGCTTACAGGACGAAGACGCCACATGCCGACGACACGGCACTTTGCTGTGACTGCCGATCATACTCACACCCGCCGGGCTCCCTCCAAGGTTCAGCTTTAATACAATCTCGACGACCTCGCACTCGCTCTTTATTGGACCCGGCTCACTCATCAGCACGTGGGAGTGGTCCGACCGTTACGCAGACTCGATATGCCTTAGATCCAAGATTGTGTCGCGGCAGACGTTCAGCAACCTTCCTTCTAGCAGGAATGGCAGGACTGACACCACACGCCGTCGGCCTTTCATCTCAACAATCTGCGCCTCCGCGACTAAACCTGCTTTTTGGTTTAGCACTAGGATTTCGCTGCTTGCCTTCTTGGGTCCAACACCCGAAGCCACGTCCGTCGCTCGGGCTAGATTGGGCAGTGGTGTAAGGCCTTTTTCGTGTTCATTTCTGACTCAGGAGGACCAAGGTTAATACAAAACCACTAGCCCCAATCACCTTCATGGATTCACCCTGTCCCTCTATGAGCCCAAGCACCGAGCACTCGGTAGGCGGCATGCTCCCCTGCCATCGAACTCAGCTCAACAATGAGATGATATGATGAGCATCGTATCGAACTGGTCGAAACTCTGACATGTTCGGACCTTCCTTTAAGGGGAGATTGTCTTCCAGAAGATGGAAACTGTGTTTTCAGCCACCGACTGACTCGAATTCGTTGTCGACAACAGTGCAGCCTCCAATCAATTCCAATGGCATCGCATTGTTGGAGGTTGCCATACGCAGTATGTTGCCTCCCATCGGCCCGGTCGCCTCTGCCGGGTTGAGGCTGGTCCGGGAGACCCCTCCGCAACGTCCGTCAGTCCACACACCCTCAGTCGGCAACGAATCTTGCCTCGAGGACGCGCCTCCACTTACCAGACATGTTTCGAGCCATCGTTGCCTCAAACCCCAGCGACGATTGTGGTTGGTCTCAATATGGGAGGCGGAGAGTTCGGTTGAACTCGTACGTTGCCATGCCACTTACCCTCTAGCAGCCTTTAGTTTGACACTTGGTCGGCCTATGGACTTTTATTCCGCAACAGTTGCGACGACGCTTGCGCACTGCTGCTTCGGCCTAACCCACGCAAACTAGTGATGTCTTCTATTAGACGGAGCGTGGCGTCCAACGTTTTCATCTCGGGTCAAGCAGCCACCGAGTCTGTGGTCGGCAGATGCCGCCAGAATCGCACCCAGAAGCCAGCTAGAATGCCGTCACAATGTCAATCTGTCTCGCCATGACATATCCGAATGGACAGCCTCCGAAGCCATTTCGACCTGGTTGTGATATTGTTCTGGAGATCGCCTTCGTACACTATCGTGTTTCAACCTTTATTATCCACCCTACAACAAGGTAAAACTCTTCATTACCATCCCGAGCGGCCCCGCCACCACCCCCTCGTAGGATCCCCAGCCAAGACATTTCTAGTCCGCCGGCTATACGCTGTAGGGGGGCTTGCGGTTCTCAAGTCGGCCCAAACTCCCTTGCCCTGTCTCTGGAATGCTGGGAAGTCCCATCTCGTCATTTAACCGCCTGCGCCTGCGTAGCACACCTCATATCGTTGCGAGCACCGAACAAGGTTCGTCGGCGCCTATGTCCAAACCGACCGATCTTGGGTTCCCTTTCCATTACTCTTGAGTCGGGTCCGGGGAGACAACCTTGCGTCGATCGCAGGGGGCGGATCGATCTCAGGGCCGCATGATAAACATGGCCATGCCGTTGCTTGCTCCCCAGTTCTTAATTTCTTCTTTCTCCTCGTCCCCCGTCACCTTGTTCCCTGCCTGCGGTCAACAGCTCCGTATTCATGTCTGGCCTGCTGGGCCAACATCCAAGGGGGTGATATGGCCATTCAGCTGCCTCAAGAAGAGCTAGGCACAGCTATAGGAGTACTTTCTTACTCCTTGTTCTGCCTAGCATGCAGTGTTCTCATGGCATGGCTGGTGTATGCCCATCGTGAAGGCCTTAGCTGTGAGTAGTCATGGTTTGTGGATCCAGGAAGTGATTCAGGATACTGACGTGCGCTCTTGTGAACAGATGTCGCCCTGGTATCATACTTCACTGGTTTGTCGACGGCTGCTTCTGTAGCCCAGCAAATTCACACAATTGTACGATGGAGAGACATCAAGCTTGCACAATTCAAGCATTCAAACGCCAACGTCGGCAATCCTGAGCTTGCCATCGCCGGCCAGTCAACTGGCCTGGACCTGGTACTTTTCTATATCCGTAAGATCCAATTCGCCAACAGATTTCATACCTTTCTCTGACAAGCTCCTAGAGTTTTACAGTTACAACGTCGAAGCGGCCCTGACCTTTTTTTGGGCAGTTGCTCTCACGCAATCGATCTTCCAATTGGAGCCCGTAAAGTCGACTCGCAAACGAGTAAACTACTTCGAAAAAGCCATTGCTATCTTGTTACCCGCGATCTTGATGGGAATTCTACGACTCGAGGCTGTCCAGAAGCAGACAGTACCCTTTCTAGTGTTGGCTGATGGCATCAGTAAGTCTCCTTACCCCGTTGTACATCAACTGCATCTAACCCTTTTGCCAGTGGGTTTCTGTCTGAGCGGCAGCGGAGTTCTCCTCATGGTTATCTTGGTCAAATACATCCACACGCGCCGAAACCTTCTTTCTTGGAATGTCCAATATGGTCAACGCTCCAACAGCACGAAAAGCAGCGACACGCTCGTCTTCGACAGCGGAAGCGAAACGCGCCGCCGAAGTATCTACGATCGATGGCTTGTTGTACGATTCAGCATAGCTTTCGTTGCGTTAGCGTAAGTACAGCCTCAAATGGGGGGGTTCCCCAAGCCTCAAAGTCTGTAGTGTGGAGTCGACGAAGCTAACCGGGTGGTTTTTCGTTCTTCTTCGAAAAGCATCTTTCAGGTGGTGACCATTATGTTTCAAGTTTCATCCGCAAAACAAAATTCTCGCGACTCGTTGAGCGAGAGCCCGGACCTCAGCACGGAACGACTGCATCTGGACCTCATACTTTTTCTGCCCGGCGTGTCCGCTAGCCTGCTGACGTTTGTCGTTTTTGGCACGACCAAGACGTTTCGAGATTACCTGGTGGCACGGCTCGTTCCGAGGCGGCTCCGCGAGAGGAATAGTAGGAGGATGAGCAACAATCAGCAGCGACGCAACACCCGCACCCGGATGTCACAAGCGTTTTCTTCTTCGAGGATGGGGGGAAGGGGCAGGAGCTTGACGTATCCGCCGCGGATCTCCCTGACGCCCTACGTCGCGGATGACGCCGGCTTGTACACGCCCACGGCTGACGGGAACGGGATTCAGCTGAGGGAGCTGAATATGGACGGGTCGAGAAAGGTCGCCGAGGACGACCAGTGGCCGCTCGTTGGTTCTGATGCGTCTGATACGTCCGAGGGGCCTGCGAAACCTGTAAATGTATATTTGTACCCGAAGCAATAGTTTTACGAGTTATGATCGAATGATACCACTTGGGTCGAAGGCCCGTATTGATTTCATTTTCTGCGAAAGATCTCCCTGTAGACCATGCACGCTGGTAACCAGGTTAAGCTGGGGGAAGGTGACCTCCACGCCAACCCCTCCTCACGAGCCGACATAGTGACCCGGATGACTGCCCAATGGTGCGGGGCTTGAACCTCCGCGTCCTGAATCATCAAGATCTGGGGGTGCCTAGATCTGGGGTAAGAGAGCGCCAGAGACATCATCGACGATCAGGGTCACATCTTCAGCTGTTCTTGCTCAAGCAAGACGCCGGATTCGATACCGTCCCCCAGCCACGGTTACACAGGTATATGACGGATTTCTCAGTGTCTTACATGATACGGAGATTCAAAGGGCCATCCCGACGCAAATCTTTTTGGAGAGGATTTGTTGACTACGATTTAGCGGCCAAGCCATGCCATGGAAAGCAAATAAGCCAATACAACCCCCTTCCATACCGCGTGTGTTGAGGCGACTTTGGAGAGATTGTGTAGAGCCAGCCAGCTCATGGGCCAGAACAGTCGATTCTCCACGAGTCACGAAGCCCGTAGTTTAGTCATCCCGCCGTCGCCTTCCACATTTTGTCAGAATAGGCATGTGTCTGTCTGTGTGCGTGTGTGTGCACGCGTGGTCGTTACATCCGTAGCTTTCAGAAACTGCCCGCAACTCCTGTGTGGATAAAGGTGGTGGTGGGCGTCACGGTCCTGAACCCAGATCTCTGGGTGCTGTACCCAAGTGGTTGGCAGGTAAAGAGGGATGCAACCGCGAGTCAGAATAAGCTTCATTTTGACTCCCTTGAGTCGCCAGTGCCTGCCTACTACGAGAGACATTTACATTATCGCGGTGATTTGAAGTCTGGGAAGTGCCGAGGAATGCAGGAATGTCTGACTCCAATTCTGATTTTATTGGTCTGAGCTTCGATGTCGTCTGCGCAGTGAACGCCCAATGGTCGATAAAGCCACACGAGGCTTCTCAAAACCTTGCCCATAAGTCATCCTTATTTCCATGCTCCTTGCGAAGATTTGATTTCCAGTCTGAGTAACAAAGTCCAGAACAGGAAATTCTTCCCCATCGTTGCCTGGAAAACTTCCATCGAGTAGGATGAAGGACGCAATCACTTTCCTAGCCAAAGGATTGTAACATTCAGCCCTTCACGACCTGGCAACTTGAACCCCCGCAAGGATCGTTTGTATGATGGCCAATATGATACTAGCTCCCCCAACCCACAGGACCGCCCAAAAGGTATACCACTGCAGCGGATTCCTGCGGTCTCTCCACAGGTCCGTCAACCGGCGAGGCTTCTGGCGCAGGCTGAACCTCTGAAGGTTGATCAGGCGATAGCCCAACCGCGGGAAGTCGCTCTGGGCGCTGTAAACGTCGCTCTCCAGGAGCTTCTCCTGCTCAAAGTCTCTACAGCCCACCGGCCATATGCTGCGCGGCAGTTTGTCGGCCTCCTTCTTGGGACCGCAGAGGGTATATAGCAGGTTGTCGAACGGTTGGCCGCTCTGCTCGAGCTTCTTAAGGTCTGACCTGATGAGATTCCTCGAGCGAGCGCTCTGTCCGAAGAGGAGGCGGTAGGAGACCAAGACTTCTTGTTCCAAGGTGACGTAATTTTGGTATCGATTTTCAAGAGTGGTCGGCATGAAGCCTTCATTGATGCTGTCCATGACCTTGTTAGAAAGGCAATTAGATAGTTGACTCCAGCAAGCTTTACTTACCTGTCGAGCAGAGGAGTAGCCTCTTTCCCCCCTTTTCGCAGGGCAGACAGAACGCAGAATGTCGGGAAGCGAAAGATGGAAAGACGCCGGCTGACCAGGTCGAACCTGAGATGTTCACTCAGCGTGTCCACCCACTGGATTTTAATACGTCCGAACAACAGAACCTCAAGATTCAGACTCCCTTCGTATAGACTATCATGTTCTCCTATCGAATGATCCATGTTTGTCGGTTGATCATCCCACGCGCTGTGTTCGAATAACTCGAAAACTCGTTTGATCGGCCGCTTTGCCTCCCTCAAGTTCTGCCTGGCGATTTGGCCTTGCGGGCTCGACTCATCGGTAAGGCTTGGAAATCTACAAGCGAGGCAGATCTGGCTCCCGAAAGGTTCGAAATCCAACGACGGTTGAAGAGTCATGGTCAACAAGCATACGGCAGCGAAGACGGCCGCAAGAAGGAGGGCGTCCGAAGACTCTCTCACATTCTCTCCTGAAGATAATACATGGTTTTTGAGGTCCTCAATGCTGGTGTCCTTCTCTGCTGACTTGAAGTTATAAGCTACTGCATGCAGAAACTTCCAACAGTCTGTTATTGTGCATGCTGTTGAGTTGGATAAAGACGGCCATATGGGCGAGAATCCGGAGTCCGTAAGGGGTTTGACTTGGGACTCGATGTGATCGCAGTAGGCCTGAATACCAGGAAACCTCTTAATTTCTTCTCCTGAAAGACCAAAGATGGCCTGTAAGGTTTGGGAGCGAAGTGTTGACGAGGGCGATGCTTCCGGCCCGTTGAGATCTTGGACCTGCGTTTCCAGGTCGACTTCTAATTTCGGTCCAGTGTTTGGTAGTATCCTACCGAGAAAAGATTCTTCCCCCAGCTTCATCCTATTTGGCATCAATTACTTGCGCACCAAAAAGAGTCTAGGGCTAATGCATACATCTTATTCCCAGTCGCGGTATCTACCGGCAATGCAGCTGGACAATTGCGTTACGCGTTACGCGCTACGGTGGACTTCCAGACTTGTCGATTGTTGTGGCTCTGGTTGAGCAATGAGGTATGATTCAGGGACTGTTGTCCAAAGACGTGGTTTAAGACGTCATTCCATACTTATGAATATATACCACTTCCTCCTGACCGGCTGAGACCGAGAAGTCCGAAGGCAAGAGACATCAGCCAGTTATTCGACCACTTTCAACTTGATCCAACCATTGACTTTGAACCTGAGGACTGAATTCAACGTGCCAAGAAGTGAGAGCTTACTCTACTCAGGCAGCCGGGGTGACCTCAGCCATCCAGTCCACGCGACACAGACAGCCGCAGCTGGATAGGGAGTGGCAGGCAGCAACAAGCATATGAAACTTCCTTGTCTCTGCTATGTTGCCTAAAGCTTACGAAGTAAGAATCCAGGGTATCACAGAAGCTTAAGTATTCCAATCAATTTCCGTCTATCTCAGCCTCGAGAGAAATCCAAGGCGCCCCGGGCACTCACACATCACCCAGTCACCGAGGCATCATGTGTGGCGCCCAATGTGCGTAGAAAATGCCCTCATGAGACAACGAGCTCTGACATGATTGATCAACTGTTTACTGATGTTCAATCCGCGCCAGAATCTATGCCTGAAAGGTTGTTCCGATGCTGCACACCAGAAGCAGGCTGAGCGTGAGCGCCTACGCCGGGCAACGAGCTCTACACCACCCTACAACCGAAGTGGCTTGAGCTTCTGCAAGCGATATCAGGCTATCCTATCAAAAGCTCTCTTCGCTGAAAAGGGGAATGTCATTTGGTGCCGACCTTGGCAATACACGGCAGCCTGCATCCGAAGGACGTAAACCCCGCACTCTTCGGCCTCGACCGAAGTTGCATCTGTCCATTCGACCCTACAGTATCAAGGCTTCATCAAAGGCATGTTAACAATAGCAATCTGGGATTATAGGTTTGTCAGATTATATAGGGAATACATGGACACATCGACAACTCTTGAAGACTCGTTAAACTCAGAGCTGGAGGGGTGTGTGGAGCTTAAAGATGGGTTCTACCATACTGGTGTAAAGTGGCTAGCCGGGCTTTGCAGCCGTTCAATGAAGAGATGTTGTTACACGAGGTAAATGGAGGTCTGTATTGTATCACAAATCAACTCCTCGCTGGGCCTTTGCATGTCGACGTGGATGCGCCGCATTCGAGAAATTGTAAGGGGACATATGTAGAGCTGTAACCCGCACAGGAGCGAGAGCTTTTTGTCTCTTGGTTCCGTTTCCCAGCTCCGTTCCTGAGGAAATAATCTCAAACTCATTGAGAAGCTACGGAGTTATCGTTCAACATGGAGCAATCTGAGATGTATATTGATTTCTATACGGTATCTGTCGATGTTCCAGACTCTGACCACATTCTAGGGAGGCACACTTCGCCCGGCAATGGGCATCTACCTCGAAGTCAGGAACCGAGCGCATGGAGCCAAACGACCGTCGAACAATCAAGATTTTCAGGAATTATGACGATATCAAAGAGGAATTCCTTGGAGGAATGGACGAAATTCATCAGGAGATTGGCATGCTCGAGCCACGTTTTGTGTATCTAAGAAGCTTTAGTGATTACTTTTCCACAAAACTCGGTCCTAAGCTTAATCCAGAAGTCTTCTGGGGCCTTTTTGGGCTAATCCTAACAGCAAGCTAATAATTGCTCAAACTGTCGAAGCCATGATTGTACTGACAACAGCGCAGATTGCTCTACCCGACGAAGAGGCAACGCGGCGAATCACTCAGATGCTTAAGAGGTTGGGCCGAGCCTGTCAGACCTTCCAACTCCACGCGGGCCAAAGTTCTACTCCATCAAAGGATGAAAAGGAGGCATGCTTTGAGATCTTTGTTTCGATGACAAGGTTTCTATCAGATGCTATTAGGTTTCTGCGGGATGCTGGAGACATTGCCAGCCTCTCATCGCCGCACGGTAGGATCTAGGACTACGCAAACCTGACTGTTCCGCTCGTTGATATCTTGTAGGTCACGCGCAGGGATCGTGGGCCAATTTGACGGTCATATACGACAATGCCCAGGCCGAGATTGATGAGTCGTTGAAAGAGATTGAGAAGATTGCAGAAATATCCCAGAGGCAGGCTACGATGTTGTCGTTTCTGGCCCTCTCCCCTCGGTCCTTCGCTGACAAGGCCAAGTTGCCTTGCTATGTGCTACCCACTGCCAGTACGAATCGATTCTTCAACCGTGACGAAGTCATCGAGGAAATAGACCATCAACTCGGAGAACAGAGAATCGATGGCCTGCGATCACTCGCGCTCTATGGCATGGGTGGTGTAGGCAAGAGTCATGTCGCCTTGAAGTACATCGAAAAAAAGAAGGCGGAGAAAGGCCTCGCTGCGATATTCTGGGTCCACGCTGAGAACATAATATCGTTTCAGCAGAGCTTTACCGATATTGCTCTGAGACTAGACCTCCCTGGAGCCCAACGAACCTTGCATGAAGAGAATCGACTAATCGTGAAGGACTGGCTTCAGCAGACGGGTCAGTCTTCAAAGCTTCTTCGAATCCCGAGGCTTGACTAACGTGAATAGAATGCAAATGGCTCATAGTGTACGACAACGTGGAGAGTTTTGATCTTCTGCGGGCCAATTGGCCCTTGCCAGGTAGCCAGGGCTTAGCATTGATCACGACACGAAACCACTCGCTAGCCTTTGACCCAGCCAGTGGAGGTCTCGAGGTTCCCTCATGGAATACAGAGAATGGTACCAAGTTTCTCTTGCATCTACTATCTGGTCATATTAGTGCAGATCTTCTGGCGAACGAAGCGAAGTCTGCATATAGTCTGTCCGAAAGACTCAGTGGTCATGCGCTGGCAATCTCGAACATGAGTGGACTCATTCAACGTCGGTCATGGTCAATTTCTCAACTCCTCGATAATTACGGAAGCAATCTAAACTTCAAGGACGGCTTAGAGGCGGTCTGGAAGGTTTCATTCCAGAATCTGAAGCCTGACAGCGCCGCTTTGCTGGCTGCATTTAGCTACTGCGCTCCTGACAGTATTCCTCATTCGCTATTTGAGTTGAAAGAAGCCGAGGATCTGCCTGATAGCTTACTCTGGTTTCTTGATGTGGATAGGTGACAACGCCCCTTCAAGTTGCATGCGTTGTGGTCGCTAATCAGGTACCTGGCAGATTTGAAGAGGCAATGGAAGAGCTATTGACTCTAGCACTCGTTAAGAGAGACAGGCAGACCCAAACTTACTCCATCCATCGGCTTATCCAGACTCACTTCCTACGTTATATGACGCCAGAAGACCGGCAAAAGTCGTTCATAGAGGCATCACATCTGATGGAAAATGTATTCCCAAAGAGGCCAGACGGCAAAACGGCAACGATGTACAATGTGTGGGAGCAATGTCAGCTGTGGGTACAGCACGTATTGCAACTCAAGAATTGTTTCAGGCTCGAAAGGAGGCGCAATCCCGGTTTCTACGCTTGCACGAAGACCTGCGCGATGTGGGCTCAATGTGGACGGTCGGCATACATCTGTCCAAGATGTCGTTCATGCTAGCTAACTTCTTCACTAGGTTTCTATTGGAGCAGCAAACTTGGCCTGAGCTTGAAGACCTTGTCGAAATAGGCAAACTGGCCTTGGCAACCCTTCCTGAACAGGACCCTGAGCTGTACAACCTAACCTCGCCGGACACGTATATTGCACAGATGTGGGCGCGCCGAGGTCACTATCGCCTGGCAATAGAAGTGATGGTGAGCGCACGCAACATGAAGTTGAAGGCTCCTCAAGAAGATCACCAAAATTTGAGCTGGATGGCGAACAACATATCTGCATTTTACTCCTGCTTAGGCGAGTACAAGACCGCTCTGGAATGGCAGGAAACCAGCAGGGTTGCTTGGGAGCGATGGGCCAAGTCTGAGAATGTTGAATTCCATTGGCACCCGAACCAAAGATACGGCAAGGGGAGAACTTTGGCTTACATGAAAAGGTACGACGAAGCTAGAACCGACATCGACGAATCTCTAGAGGACATGCTTACAACCAAGCCGGTCATTTGGGGGACGGCGGGACCGTAAGTTCTGAACCCCTGAGAATGGACTCAATCTTAAGTGCTTGGGATAGCTCCGGCTAATGTCTCGTTATTTTGCCTAGGTGTCAGTTCGCTCGTGCTAGACTAGCCATGTTCGAGGGAGACTTCAAGCTTGCTGAGCTCTTGTTCCAAAAGGCGCAGAGCATATGGCTCACGGGCAACAGTTCCAGAACGTCGGACTTCTACGCGGCTACAATTTACCGCATGGGATGTTGCGCGCTACTCGAAGGAGAGGTGGAACGAGCTGTGTAAGTCTAGATCTGGAAACATATAGTGGCCTTTGTTAACACCACCCAGGAAATACCTCCAAGACGCGATGGCAATTACATCATTGCGAAAGGATATCCAGGTAGGGGAGCATGCTCGCTGTCTGCACAAGCTTTCAGAGGCTCTCTATCAGTTATCTGGTCGTGAACTGGAAGCGGACAGACTGCTCAAAGACGCCGAGGAGCTCTACTGGAAGCGTATCGAAAAGCCCAGAGGGGTTTCGGAGGAAGACCACGCAGAGTACGAAGTACCACAGATTCATCCCCAAGAGGAAGATTACGACTCTTTAGTCTATATGCTATGGCGCTGAACATTCGAGAGAACTTTCAGAGCTATAATTTGATATTGAATCCGATCCTGGTGCTGAGAGCCGAATAGTCGATCAGGGATGTTGTCCTTCTAAAAACACCCATTGGCGGTCCAATTGCAGTTCTTGTGATTCCGTGCTGCTTGAAGGTAAGGCAGTGTGACTTGACGGCACACATGGCTTCGGTGGCTGGCTTGTGTGGCGCAGTTCGCCGAACAGGCCTCAGGAGGAACAC